AAAACATGACCTATCTACTCAATTCATACTGGGGTGCAAAGGATGTACTTAAAGTACATATGCATATTTTAAGTATATCCTTTAAATATACATATGTCTATGTGATATGGACATATTATATATATAAATAAATGAAATACATGTCATCCATGTAATTAGTGCCTGTGTCCCTTAACATTTACCATGTAGGCGTGCGAGAGCTGCACTGCTGGCTTTTTAAAGACTGTTTAATTCAGTAAAGCTCTGGTTGTTTTCATTAAGGGATTGAATACAATACACTTAACTAGATTCTCAAAGGGTGTGCTTTGGCCAATACACATAAATTTTCCCCCCCGACCTTTGGGAAGATGAAATATGCTTTTAAATATTCAGCTTTTTACTGTGACATAGTAGTTGCTTTTTATGACGGGTTGGCTCCTTGGATAATTGCTGTAACTAAACTGTGCCACTTAGCCCCATGAAACTCATTACTCCATTTACTATAGTGGCATTGTTGAGGACACGGTTCATTATATCACGCTATTCTCTTTATAAGGACCCATAGGAGAAATTTCTCCTGGGTGTCAGTGTACAGAATAGCTATGATTCTGCCAAGCAGCTGATTTATCTGAGGAAACCTGAGTCATTTAACCGTTTTCTGTTATGTGGTGGCTACTTGGTAACTCAGAGGGCTGATTTGATATCCCATCTCTAGTGTAGGACCTATGACTTCTACTGGTATACAAACCTTACCTGTGGCTTTATCCTATTTTTCCTACCCTAATTTTCCTCTTAACGACTTAATGATTTTCTTAAATATGTAATACTGTTCTTTATGTGTATTTATAAGCCGCCTTAAATAATTTTTTAGAATGAAACAGAACACACACACTGACACAGTTTAGGGTGGCAACCCTTGCAGCTTCAGAATTACAGGTAAGACTATGCAATACCCTTGGTACCACTTAAAGTCCAGAAAGACAAGAGAAAAGGGAGAAGAGAGGAAAACCAGGGCAGAGGTTAAGGGAAGATAGAAGAAAAGAAAGAGAAGAGGTACATATGGTGGGGGG